TGTACTTTCTCTGTATGCTGCACGTTCGGCTCGATCAGAATTGCATAGGCATTTTCAAGCCTTTGAAGGTCAGGTCTTGGGTCTCTCCTCAGACCAAAGCTCATGGACTCATTCGGCCCAGCTCCTTAACCCTTTCGGTGTCCAATTCCAACCACGAGGGCCTCTGACCTTGGTCGTGACCCTGTGCCCTCGGCCCCTTGGGCAGCTCCTTCTGACGGGCCATATCGAGGACGGAAAGGCGGGGGCGCAGAACTGCAGCCCAGGAACTGGCTGCCAGCTGCCAGGGGAAAAGGTTGGAAGGCCCGCGCCCTAGCCGAGGCGCCCATTGGCTGTGACAGCCACCCCCGGACCAATAGCCGGCGACGGCGGTGGCGTCACAACTCCCGGCGGGCAGCCGCAGGTCGGTGCTCACCTCGGTATCAACTGTGTCTGCTGCGACCTGTTCAGTCCATGCTCCGTGGAGCCTATCCCGTGGCCTACGCTGGGCTACTCCGGCCTCGGTGCGAGGACGACGAAACCTCAAGTGGGTGTGGGTCCTGGACAGAGGTGAACCAGACGGTCCCGCCCCCCGCACAAAGCGGGAGGCGCGGGGCCCGGATTAGAAGCACTTGGGGGACACGCCTAAAGAGCCCATAAAGGGTTGGCCAGTAGTGACCTTGCAGACCCGAGCATCCCAGCACCCTCAATCTCACCACCTCACACTGGCCGAACTGCAGCCCAACCGGAAGCAGCCGTACTACGCACGTACCTCGGCGGGCCTTAACTCCCATTGGCTGGGAACCTGTCATTTAATCTCTATTGAGCCAATGAGCTTTAGCTGGGCTGCGCCCGCAGAGCGCACACAGGCTGGCGGGGAAGCCAGACCCGGCTTCGTTCCTACCCGACTCCGCCAACTGGAGCTTCCTGCCGGCTTCTTCCTTGAGGGGAGACCCTGCCCGGGCCACATACCCACCCAGAATCCGAGCACTGCCTGAATGGAGGTCACTGAAAATTCTTAATACAAAGAAAGTGTTGAAGGGCCAGCAACTACCCTAAACCCAGCTTTGTAGTTTAACCTTTGAGCCTCCAACAGGATTATGCAGCTCAGTGGGCCAGGGTGGGTCATCCGTGGGATTCCTTCCTCAGAAGTGGCTCCGCTGTGCACTTGACCCCGCCCAGTTCCTTCTCCAGAGACTGGCTCACAGCCAGCCCTGCCTGCCCTGGACAGGACACACATATGAGTTCCACACACTTTTATTAGAGGGTTGGGACAGTCCTGCTAGGAGGCTTGGGTGATGCTCATAGCTGGTGAGGCTGCTCGGTGTGCCCTTCCCAGTGCCGGAACCCACAGGCTCAGCTTCCCCACTCCCAGCTGTCTACAGTAGTACCAGAAAAGCCCTGTTGCATGAGGCTGGAGGCAGTGCTGGCAGAGCAGGGCTGTGGTGAACGTGGCCGCTGATTCAGAACAGAGGACATCAAAGGGCAACTGGCAAGGTGAGGCCAGAGTGCTCAGCATCTGAGCCACTACCAGCCAAAGCTGCATGTCCTCGTTCCCTGTGCTGCAACAGGTGGCGTGTGCATGAGAAAGCCCCTCACTCTCCATCCTGGTTGGGTTTGATGAGCCCATATTCCACTGCTTTCCCCAGGCAAGCTGCAGCCGCCGTTGTGACAGGGCCCTCCTTGCTCTTGGCCAGCACTGATAGGATCTCCAGCATCTCGCTCTCCATCAGGGTGCTGGCGATCTCACGCGAGGCCTCCACCATGTTCAACACCACCACGGCACCCCGGTGCTGCAGCTCCTGACTGGGGCTCAGAAGCAGAGCCTGCAGGATCTCCAGCCAGTGTGTGGTCTGCAGGAAACACGGTAGTGTGACCCCCCACCCCGACCAACAGGCTTCATGAACCCTGGCAGGGGGCACCAGCCCACACTGAGACTTGCCCCGCCGACCGCTCCTATGCTGGGGACTCCAGGCCACCTCCCCTCCCCGCAGAGAGGCACTGACCACTTGGGGGATACGGCTGCACAGCGAGGGCCGCATGGAGGTGAGCATGGCCAGGCCCCCGGCGGCCGCCCGCCGCAGCAGCTCGTCGTCCTCCCCACTGTACAGCACCAGCAGCTTTAGCCGGTCATTGCCCTCGGCTTCAAAGAGGTCCTGTACCTGTGGCCAAACAAGGGGGTGGACCAAGTCAGCCGGGCAAAGCCCACCAGGGCACAGGCGTCCACATGACCGTGGGAAGCAGCCCTCACCTCCTGGCTCATGGCCAAGTTGCACATGCACTCCGTAGCCGCCCGGCGGATCATCTCGTGCTCCTCAAACATGTAGCCCTCGACCATGGGCACAGCCTTCTCCTTCAGGATCTTCTGCCTGCGGAGCCCAGGGTGGGAGGGTCAGCACCAGCAGGGTGTCTGCATCCTTGCCACCACGCCTGTGTCCCCATCTAGTCCAGCCCTGGGCAACGCCCAGGGACCCTACTGTACCATGTATGAACTGCAGTGGTTTCCAGCATGAGACCATGGACAATGCTCTAAACTAGGATGCCGGTGACCCTGACCCAGCACTCAGGCCACCTCACTTCATCGTATCCACGGCCCCAGGGTGAAGGTGCAGGTGTGTGTATCATGACTACTTGACAGAAAAGGAAACCAAGGCTGTGTAGTGAGTAATGTAGCCACGGTCACAATTAGTAACAACAGCTGATACGTATTGATTGGGAGCCAGGGAGCCAGGTCCCTTCATACTGTTTTACATGTATTTTTCTCATTTAATTCTCCTCACCACTATGCCATGAGGTAGATACTATAACCACCCCATTTCACAGAGGGAGTAACAGAGGCATGGAACTGCTAAGTACTTGGCTTGAGGTAACACACTAGTAACTAGAGAAGCCAGGGTTTGAACCCAGAGAGTCTGACTCCAGAGCCTGCACTGTTATCACCCAGTGCCTTGTCCCCGGTGGAGCTTTATCCTCCACTGTTGACACAGAGGAGTCACTGTAAGGCTCAGACAGAGCAATGACCGAAGAGAGCTTTCCTAACTGAAAAGCACTTTACTGGGGATAACCTAAAGTCCACGTCCCAAGGAGCCTTACCGGAGCCTCTCACTGATCCCCGCCAGGTTCGTTAGAGCCATGAGCGCCTCGAAGTTCTGCAGGCCTGAGCAGTTGAGGTGCAACAGGGAGACAAGGGGCCGGACCACCTCATAGATCTGCGATATGCACCCCACCTGTCAGGGTTACTCGCCCCAGCCCCTACTGACCCCACCGACCCTGCAGGCGGCAGTCCACCCCAAGAGAAGGGTGCCCTCCCCATCTTGGGTCTTAGCAAAGCTGCCAGTTCCTGTTGGTCCTTAAGAAGGAGCCACAGCCCAGGTCAGAGGCCATCAGGGCCCACTGAGGGAACAGGGTGGAGGAAAGGCCAGGTCTGGGGCAGGAAGACACGCACCCGTTCTCCAGGAAAGGTCATCTCTGGGTTGGAGGTGATGGTGAGCTTGGCGAGAGCCTGGGCTGCCTTTGTCTGCCCCACGTCAGTGCCTTCCAGGGCCAGCGGGAGCAGAGCCTGTAAGGACAGTCCTGCAGTGTCCAAGATGTGCCTGGGAGCGTAAGGCCCAAGCAGTCAGGCCCTGACGCCCTGACTGTGCCTCCCTCAGCTTTCTCCTCTTCGCTCAGACCCTCATCACCTCTCTGAGGTTTCCCATTAAGCTACGCAAACACTTCCTGAAAGGACTACCATTTAAGGACTAAACATGGTCTGTGCTGGGCGCTGGGGCCATGGAGGTCAATGGCACAGGGAAAGGAAGAGAACTCAGGACCTTAGCACACAACGCGCCCAACGCTCCAAGGAGCCCACCCTCATCAGCATCACTAACTCAGCAGGAAGATATTAAATATGCTTTTCTGTTCCACATCTAGCACTAACCTCTGGTGTCACGGCCACTGACTCATGTTTTATAGACCACAAGGAAGGAGTCTCTGTAAATTAGCTCACCTTGCCCCCTCCCTGAGCGACCACAGTGCCGCGGTCCTCTGCCTCCTCCACCAAAGCCAGGAAAACCCTGCAGGGAGAAGGCGGTGGTGGTGGTGAGCCGGCCCAGGGCTCTGGCAGGCAGACGCTCCGCTTCTGAGCTAAGGAAAGGAAGGCAGCCAAACGGTGGCCCCCTGCTCCGAGAGGCCCACGGCACCAGGACTTGCTCCCTCTGCAGTTAGTGGCAGCCTCAAGGCTTGCGAGGCAGGCTCACCTGGACAGCAGCTCTCTGCAGGAATTCGTCAGCACGGGGCTCTCGGTCTTCACCATGCACGTCATGGCGGACACCACACCCGCTGCCAGCAGCTTCTTCACCCGAGCCCGCACGAAACTCTGTTTGTCCTGGGGAAGGAGGTAGCTTAGCACGGGAGCCTCGGCCGACTAGACAGGGAAAGGGGACCCTCCTCACGGCACAAATTAATGAACATGAAAACAAGGCAAAAACCCACTTAAATGGAAGGCTCGTCTGCTGTGGATGCCCCAGATCAATAGATCCCAATGATACAGAGACCCCCAAACCCATTCCAGCGGCCCCCTTACCTTGGGGTGCTGCTCGGGCACGTGCTGCTTGGCATACTTGGCCAGCTCCACCATCTTGGGGTCGGGCTCCTCGTAGTCGTAGCTGTTGGTACAGTTCACCAGCGCCGAGGCCACCGCAAAGAGCACCGACCTCTCCTCGGCCTGCCAGGGGCAGAGGGACAGTCAGCGGGCCATCTCAGGGGCAGGGCAGCATGGGACCAGTGGCTCCCAGTTCTACCCTCGGCTGGAGCACGTGGGCACCAGGATGAATCTGGGGACATCCCCAGGTTCCGGTCTGGCACCACACTTTGGGAGCTCTCACATTTGACCTCCCCAGCTCCTCCAGGGATTGTCCTTTCTGACACTGCTGCTGTGGGCCAGTATGCCCACGCACACAGTGTGGCCACTCGGGCTACCAGCCCTTGCCCCCCGAAGCCACAAAATCCTGATGAGCTGTAATCCTAGACGGGGACCCTGGATGACTGCAGAACCCAGGGAGCTACCCGGCTGAGCTGGAACAGAGCCTTCAGGGCGGCCTCGTCCTCCACAAACTCTTCCTTCACGTCGGCGTCAAAGGTGAGGTAGGCCAGGCCCTCCACTGCCCAGCGCCGAGTGCCCGCGTCAATCTGCTCATTGCACAGCCACCTGGGGACATGCAGGGTAGTGGAAAGGCCGTCAGATGGGTGAGAAGGGGCATTAGGGCCAAGGGGGCAACACCAGAGGCTTGGGCATCCCCTCCACACAAGGAAGCAGTTCACATGGCAGGACCAGGAGGGTCTGCCTCGGGAGAGGGCAGCAAGGAGACCCCGCCCGCCACCCAGACCCTCCTCTGCTGAGGTCAGGCTGACGGTGGGGAGCCACGGACAACGCCAAATGACTCACTTGCGACACTGCTTGGCCAGTTTGAGAGTGGACCCTTCAGCAAACTGCTTCATGCTAAAGTCAGTCCCTCCAGCCGAGCCGAGCTTACAGAGTCCCTGGAGGAAAAGGCAAGAACCAGCTGTTGGCCTCTGGGGTGGACACAGAGCTGTGCTCCTGCACATCTGGCGTGGGCTCCCTCCCTGACACTCTGCCAGGCTCTCTGGAGGCCACGCACCCCCTGCCAGGCTACCATCTAGAGCATTTCGCAACAAAGTGAGCGCTTGGGGTGGTCACGTGACACAGCGCCTTGTTAGAGGCTGGCACGTTGGCCACTATGCTGTCTGTCCTGGGCCCCAGCCCCTCCTGATCTGTCCTGGGATTTGCTCTGTTCCTGTCCACGTGATACAAAACAAACCTTACAGGCAGAGCTAAGACGTGCGTGGGAAGAAGACAGGTGCCTCAGCCAAGGCCAAGATCCTTATGGGATGGAGAAACCCAGGACGAGGTGCCCCAGGGCGAAGACCAGCTCCCCCAAGGTAACTGCCGTGGGCTTATGGGGGCCAGACAGACCCCAGACCACCAGCTCATGGGGCCACCTGCAGGCCCAGCCTTTCTGCCCAGCCCTGACCAGCCTGGCCCCGCCAGCCCTCCAAACTCCTTCATTGCTGTCTCCTGCAGCTTCCGCCACCACCTCCAGGGGCAGCATGTGCTACCTGCACTGTCAGGTTTCCCTCTGCCTAAGGCTCACCTCTCTGACTTGACCCAGAGCCCTGTGAGAGGAGCAGCCAGGGCCCCTGCCTCCGGCCTGGACGAAGCCCTGCACGCCCACATTTCCTCCTAGAGTGTGCTGGGGCCACACCCTGACACCAGCCGGCCGGGCACCCCACGCGGTGGCCAGCCTGCCTGCCCAGACCCGCCCCTCTCACCACCAGCGCCCGGATGCGGATGCTGTCCTTCTCGCTGCGCTTGTATAGGTCCTTCAGCAGCGAGACGCCGTTGGCGGTGATGAACGAGGCCCGCTTGGCCTTGCCAGCCGCGTGGATCAGGGCCTCCACAGCCACCAGCTGCTCTTCCTCCCGCTCAGAGGCACACAGAGCGATCACGCTCTCCATGACGCCGTTCAGCTCCAGGGCCCGGTTGCCGGCGTCACATGGGCCCTGCAGGAGGCAGGACACCGTCTGGATGGCCCGCAGCTTCCCGGCCATCCCTTGGTCCTCAAACCAGCTCCTGGGGGCAGAGGGTGACAGCTGTCACACCAAGGCCAGCACAAAGGGACTCTCATCCCTCCCTTCCCCTCCACTGGCCAGGCATCTGCACTACTTGGGAAGAACAGCAGGAAAAGCCGCCAACAGGAAGACAAGGCCATCCCCCCAGACAGCAGTGCTGACGTTCCTTACCTAGGCTTCCATTCCAGCCTTCCCTGAAGACACACCACCTCTCACTCCCACCACCCTGTTCATCTCCTTTCCTGTACTTATTATTAAGATCTAAAATTGTTCTGCTCATTTTCATAATTTGTCATTTCCCAGCTGTAAGCTCCGTAAGGAAGGGCTGTCACATTGCACTGCTGGGTCAGAAGAGACATAGTAAGTGCTCAGTAAACACAGTAGGTGCTTGATGGCATTTGTGGCATTATAGAGAACTGATGTGAAAAAGAAAGTCCCTGGGGAGGTCACTCTGGAACAAGAGGTGGGCCTCGGGAGCACTCTGGCCCCTGCTGGTCCTCCCCAAGGCTGCTCCCTTCGCTGAGGGCCTTTCACTGCTGCCCCTCCCCAGGAAGCAGAGCTCTTGCCGGAACCCCTGGCAGCGGGAGGCAGGCCGACCCGCTTACTTGATGTAGTTTTCGCACAGTCGGTGGAAATTCTCCCTCTCGGCATCACACTTCAGGTCATCGAAGAGCTTGCTGAGGAGAATGGAGGCACTCATGCGGCTGTTTGCTGTCACCCTGAGCTCCCCAGGAGGCTCCAGCACAGAGCCCCCCACCTCCAGAATCTTTTTCAAACCTGAAAAGACACCCTGTTTAGAAGCAGAACACTAACCCGACAGGCAAAGGGAAGAGGTCTCTGGGAGATGCACAGCAAAGCAGGTGGACAAGGCTGTAGGGTGCAGACAGCTGCATCGAGGGCAGGTTGAGACAGCGTGGTCGGCTGACCCGCTGCTGACCGAGGCAGCTGTGGGGAAGGACCTCGAAAGTGAGGTCTGCGTGCCGGCCCTGCCAGCCGGGCCGAATGCTGGGGCTTTGAGGTTCCTCATGTGTAAAACTTATGGGAAAATCACAGCCACAGCTCACAGGATTACTGAGGTAACGAGGGTAAACACCCATTAGACGTGCTCGTGCAGAGACTTTTGCCAAGCTTAACTTATTTATATTTTACGGGAAAAGAGCTGTGTGAATTCAAGTATTAAACTTTAATATTTTTTCTTGAGTATAAAAGTAATATTCACTCACTAAAAAAAAAACCCTTCAGATACAGAAAGCTTGTCCAGCCTCCCAATAACCTGCCAGCAGGCCTGCTCAATGGGCACGCATGTGCACATGTTCACAGCTAAGGGTCTAACTGAGTCACCTAAGGGTCAGGCCACAGGATGCACGTCAGTGCCGACACACGGCGAGGTGCAGCCACTCCTGGGGATAAGCAGGCCCAGCCACCCAAGCAAGACACAACACATATGCTCAGGCTCTTTCTCTTTCTAAACAGTATCACCTACCTTGGTCAATGACCCAGAGGGTGAGGCTGTTGTTGGGGTCCTTAAAAGACTTCCGGGGCACCATTTTAATCAGGAGGGTCAAGGCGTTGTCTCGGCCTTGGCCTGAGACCCCCACCTCAGTCAGTAGCTCTAAGAGGTTACTGATGAGGACCTTCAGCTCCCGGGAGGGATCTGGCAACGAGAAGACATTTGTGGGTTCCATGGTGACCCAGCCATGTGACCTTTGAACTTCCCCAAGAGGCCAGGGAGATACAGGGAGGGCTGGGTTCTGGGCTGGGCTCCAGCCTTCACTGTACCCTGGCTGCTGAGACTCCGGAGTAAAATACTGTCACCAAGGCATAGTCCAGAAAAACTGGCAAGTCTGGTCACAAGAGACCTGGCCTGGTTGGCTCGGCCCTTTCCCCTCCATGACCACTACACCCAATGGACCACAGACCTGCCTCTACTCACCCACGATGATGGCGCCTTCTTTGCCTCGGAAGCCTTTCTTGACGCCTTCCTTGAGGGCATCAAACATCACCTGCAGCAGGTGGCAGGCAGCCAGGGACACAGCCTGGTTTTCCACGCCCAGGATGGAGACGACCCGCCGAGTTCCCAGCACACTCAGGGTCGCCACAGTCTGGAAGGGAGAGAGGTGGACAGAGCCCTAGGCTGCTGAAGGGCGGCCGCAGAGACCCCTAACTGGGGGTTGTGAGTGTGGTCGGGGGAGACAAAATTCGGGCGGAAGGAGCAGCTCCAAGTGAAGACAATGTGGCCTGACTGAGGGTGTGACCAGGGGAATGCCGAGATTATTTTGTTGGAAAGCAAATATTCCAGAAGGAGCCACCACTACCTCCCCAATTTCGGCTCCTCGGAGAAGACAAGGAAGACTGTGGCCCTGAGAGCAGCCATTCTGGTTCATGTCTCTCCAGGAAGGAGACACGTAAACCTGGACAAAGCTCTCTGACTACCAGCCCAGAGACACTTAGTTCCTCCCTAATGCTACCCCTGAGGGATGTGGACATGCATGGAATGGACCACAGGCCTCTCCACCCCATTTCTAAGCTGGAAACCCCAGCAGGTCCACACGGGTCTACCCCAGGTCACATGGGGGAGCGCAGGAAGGCTGAGGGAAGTGGACGGAATCCACATGGGTTTACCATTCTTGGTTCTAGGACACCCAGAAATATAGCCTGAGTTCAGAGCTTTCACAGAATATTTCACAGTTCCACTCCGATCTAGGGAATTGTAGGTTCCTCTAAAAGCAACCAAGAGTCAAGTCCCTGTCCCCGGGGTCCAGCCAGCTCAGGTAGGCACTGGGGCATGGACTTCTCCACACGGCCAGGACAGGGCTGTTCTTGCTGAAGTGTCTGTGCTGGACCCACAGTCTGCGCTGACAGACCCTTGAGAGTCAAGCTGCTCATATCTAGCCACTGCCTCGATAGCCAACATGCTGTGGGTGACATTACTCACCACATCACTCGCCGTGAGGAACCCCCACTCCGGGGAAATGCACATCGGATTATCAGGGAAAGACAGATGTCCTGTTCTTTGCAACAAGCTTGCTTTGATCACATGGACAGTAGTGAGTCAGTGACCAGGTGTCTCCATGAGTAGCTAAAGGAAAGCCTACCTCGCACTCAGTAGCCCCATCTCCCCACCAAGCAAGTGCTCAGGTGTCAGTGACTTTACTCTTTCCTGACCCCAGTTCGTCCCACATCATATTTGAGCCATTTTAAGTTTTTCCTCTCTTTCCTCCTTTACATGTCTCCTTGTACTCTGCCTTAAGTTTTTTGGGGGGTAATAAGCTGAGGGTGGAAGGGTGGATGGGTGAGTGGATGGATGGATGGATGGAAGGACAAATGGATGGACTAAAGCAGTAACTAGACAGTCCACCCCACCTACCCGTGACTGGTGCTCGGAGCAAATGCCGACCAGCGTGCGCAGAGCTGCCAGCATCAGGTCCGTCTCTCCTGTGTCCAGCAGGCGTTGCAAGAGCTGGACCCCATTGCTCCGGAAGATCTTCTCAGCCCCAGCATCCTCCCGGGCCAGCACCACCAGGTTCTGAGAGGCCTGTGTCAAAGGAAGCACACGTAACATGGACACTGCACGCAGCACGGGGCCAGGGAGGCAGAGGCCCTGAACTCTGGCCCTCACTGATGTCACTTAACAGCAGAGTGACCTTGGCCACAAATTTAACCTTTCCGAACTTCAGTGTCTTCCTCTGTAAGCAGAGGGAAGAGCCTGCTCTCAGGGTGGGGTCCTGAGTCCCTGGCAGAGCCTGGAGGGCAGGGATAGTGCCTCAGTCCCCTCCTGGCACAGGGCCTGGCCAACAAGGTGCTCAGTGCACACTGGTTCCCTCTCCTTGGCTCACTCCCAGGCCCCAAACCCTATGAGCTCCCGCCCAGACTCTGTGAACTGGGAGTTCCGCTCTCTCTCGCTCAGTCCAGGCCCCATACCTTCTGCTTCTTCTCAGTGCCTTTCTCTTGTGGGTCCAATAGGATCTGAAACATCTGTTCCACTTTGGCATCCGTAGAAGACATGTATCGCACCTATGACAAACCAACAAAGTGGGGAAGACATCACCTCTCTTGGCCAGAGACGACACGTTCCCTCTTTGTCCTCTCTTGCTCCTCCCAGGGCCTGGCTCCTTCCCTGGGAGGCACAGTGAGGATGTGTGGGCTTACGGCTGGCACCAAGCTACCTCGGGCAGGAAGGGACTCGCTCGGCAGCTTCTCTTGAGCTTCCCGTGGCTGTTTTCCTCTCTGAGTGACTTCCCGCTTGGGCAGCAGGGGTGGCACCTGTGCCGAGGGCAGTGCCTTTCAGAAGGGGAGGCATCCTGTTAGCCACAAGGCTACCCGCTCCCAGTGGTGCTACAGATGTTGGGACAGCATGGATGCACCGTCTGTGGCACTGAACCCAGCATTTATACTTCTAGCGAGGGAGCCAGCGGTTCATGGGGCAGTTGCTAATGCTCCCTTTAAGTCAAGCATTCTCTTTCTGATAGTTTTAAAAAATAATCTGAATGAGCAAGATCACCCAGGCCCTCTCCCACCCCCCAGTCCTGGGAATGGATGGTGGCACAACCCTTCCCCTCTTGCATCCATGGCAGGCATGACTAATCAGTCACAGCACATTCTCCTGCTAGGCCCAGGTGACTCCCTTCCTCATCCCTCTAAACACAGGGCTCTAGACAGACCCTGCTAATCAAACAGAGCCGGCACTGTGAGGAACACAATTTGCCTTCCCACGTCTCAGCCTTTCCATAAGTATTTCCTGCTTCCATTGCGTCAGTACTTTAACACCAAATTATCTGGTTAATTCAAACTTGGCTATAGTTCACGAATGGTCTTTAGATTCTTTTATCCTAAATTAATTTTTTAATATATGTGCCACACAAACAACGCTTGATTTAAAAAATTAACAGATGAAGCCAAGTCTCCTCTGAAAAGCCCCCTCATCCCATTCCTTTCCCCAGGGGTCACACTGTCACGATTTTGATGTGCATCTTTTAAATTGTTTTCCTTCATATTTACATATCCCAGGATAATCAGAGAAAAAATATGGTATTGTTTTAGGGGGCCGTTTTAACATAAACAATATCATACTATATGTGTCATTTTATATTTTGCTTTTTTTCATTTAACAAGTGTTGGCTTTTCATGTCCATACACGTGGACCTATCTACTTTTGGTTGCTATAACAAACAATTCTGTAGTAAGGACATCACCCAGTTCATTTAGCCATAATGCTGAGCAGTTAGGCAAGTTCCAGTTTTTCATTAAGACAAGCAAGGCTGAACTAAACATACACATGCCTGCTTGTGGACACGGGCAAAGGGAGACACATCAACATACTGGATCACAGGATACGCTCATTTAGAATTTTAAGAGATGTGCTCAAGAACTCTCCCAAAGAGCTGTACCAACTTACACAACTTCCAGCAGCCATGAGTGAGCCCATGTCCCCCCCCCAACCTCACCACTTAAGTGTCTGCCTCCCTCCTTCGAGCAAAGCGTACAAACTTTAAATGTTTATCAAACACTCCACCGAAGAAACAGCACCTTGCTGTTATTGTAGTTTGCTTTCCCTACCTGCTGGCAAGGTAGAGCATCACTCTATAAGCTCATGTGTCATCAGTACCCGCCCTCTGCAGAGCTGTGCTTACACCTGTGACCCGGATCCCTTTACCAGTGTCCCTCTACCACCCATCAACGCCATGCTCTCTCACTCACTCACATACCTTCTCCTGAATCTGGCCCCCGATGTTGCGCAGGGCCTCCTGGAAAACTCTGTTCTTGGGCTCCAGGCTCACACATCTCTGCAGGTCAAGGACAGCTTGGTCGAGGCGGCCCAGCTTCTCGAGGGCTTGGCTCCGCCGGTAAAGAGCTTTGACATCCCCACCGTCCTTTTCAATGGCTGAGCACAAACGGGAACTCTGTCAGCACCCGTGAGGCCACCATCTCCAGGCAAGAGCAGGAGGGAAAGGTCTTGAGGGCCAGAGGAAGGTGGGGGACGGATGTGGGGCTCAGTACTTCAGCCTCAGAAAAGGTGAGGGTCGCTGCAGAAAAGGAAATGCCCGAGGAAGTGGGAAAGAAAGAAGGCAGGTGTGTTTCAGGGGCAAAAGGAGGAGAATGTGAGGGTACAGTGGTCCAAGGCTCCTTGCCCCCCACAGAAGCCAGCCCCACAGCTCCACACAGGGCACGTTCCCTACCTTTGGATGCCTCGGTTTCTGCTTTGTCGTAATCTTCCTGTAAAAGGAAAAACAGGAGCCTAGGAGACTGTTCATCTCCTTTTCTGGGCAGTAACTGGGCAGCAGGGCTGTTCTCCAGAGTCACCCGGTCCCCCACCTCTGGAAGGCCCCTAAGAAATCCAGGTGTGGGGTGGCCTGGGAAGGTGAACTTCCAGTCAGGGCCCATATGGCAGCAAGATGGGCAAACCCGGACCTGTGCAGCCAGCTCCCTTACCAGCTTGAGGTGGCAGGCAGCCCGGTTGCGGTGCAGAATGGCCTGGTCCTGAGGCGTCGCGCCCAGACCCAGGGCCTGGGTGTAGGCCGTCAGGGCGCCCTCGTAGTCCCCGCATTTGAACAGCTCGTTGCCGTCCTTCCGCAGCTGCTCCACGGAGCTGGCCTGCGGAGGGAAGGGGTGGAGACGTCTGAGGTGGGCTCAGGGCAGAGCCCGGGAACTGGGGAGAGGAGGCTGGGGGCCGGGGACGAGCCCCATGGAGGGCCAAGGCTGGAGGAGGCAGCGGCCGGGAAATACTCAGAGCAGCTGCGAAGTGGTGATGGCGTGGGGGGGTGACGGGCTGGGGTTCTGGGGGGGGACCCGGGATCACTCACAGTCATTGAGGAGGGCGTCCCGAGTCAGCGCGGGCGCAGCTCTGGCTAGGTGGGTCCAGGCTTCGGAATGCGCCGTCGGCTGCCCCGCCCCAGTCCTGCGTCAGAGGCGGTGACCGAGGGGCGGGGCCAAGGCGTGCGCGCTCCGGCGGGGGGCGGGGCGCTCGGCCGGCTCCGCAGGCGCAGAAAAGTCCCGGGCGCGCCTAGTCTCTTTCCGTTGAGACCAGAGGGAGTGCCGTGGTGGCCCCAGCCCAGGCCCCGACCGCGACAGAAGTGCACGACCTCTACAGCTACCAGGGCCGCGAGCAGCAGGCTGTACAGGTCCAGCGCTAGGAGCAGGCCCGGGCTCCTGTGGGAAAGGGCACAGTATCAGGATGCTGGGTCTCTCTGGTGCAGCCTGTGGGTTACAGGCCCGCTTCGCAGATAAAGGCACAGTTTGTAAACACAAATTCAGGGGACTCACAGGCACCCTGAAGCCATCCATGGACAGATCCAGGATTGCAAACCCCGACAACACACGAAATACAAGACCTTCTCAGTTTTGACCCCTGCCCCACAACACACGCATGGCTCCCCGTTACCAGCTTTCATAGCCTCCTTCTTTGCAGAATTGTTTGCGATCTTATGTATACGTGATTTTATTTGAGGTCTGTCTTTCCACTAGTCTGTAAGCTACAAACCTTCCAACCCGAGATTTAGGAACAGAGCCCCGAACAGAGCCCCACATCCTGGAACTCCAGGGACGTGCTCCCATGGCTCTGGGGTTGGAGTTTTCACCTGCGGATGGGCGAGGCGGAAGGGCGGATAGGTTGACCTGGTGTACGGCCTCAAATTCAGCCCCGGAGCAGCAAGAGCCCCTTGCAGCCAGCAGGGGGCAGCAGTAGGCTTCCTCGGAGTATCAAGGAGCCCAGGACAGAAGAAACCAGGGGAGTAGCGGCCATCGGTATCCTGGGTGATCTGGCACAAGTGAGGGTGCTAGGCCAATGCTGAAGGGAGGGGCAAGGGGGCTGGAGACAGGCAGGAATGGTCTGCCCACACCCCACTCCATCCCTTCAGGAGAGTGAAAGGGATCAGCCACTATCAGAAGAGCAGGCTTCCTTCTTCCCCACCAGCTTCCCAGAGGAGCTCATGTCCTGCTGAGAGAGTAGGGGACCATGGGTAGAGTCCAGTGCTGTACCTGAGAGAGAGGTCAGCTGGCCAAGGGTTATCCAGCTGAAGAGGCCCATAGACAGCCTCCTCTAGAAGCCCATGAGGGGTCACCTCCACCTCCGCACTGGTCCCAGGAACCCCAACATGTCTCTGAGCCATGGCTGCAGACAGTAAAGGAAATAATCAAAGCCCCAAGGCCCCCGGGCACCATTAACACAAACCTGAAGCTTCTCTGTCACAGACCTCTGGAGATGGATGAAAGTGAGTTTCTATCTGCTGTTGGAAAATGTGGGGACTGTGACTCCAAGCTGCCTAAGATCTTCTGAGCTGAAGGGGGAAGGCTTAGAAGACTACAGGGCAAATGAGGGATGAAACAGAAGTTGAGCCATTAGCCTGAAAAACAGACAAGCATTTAGAGCCAGATGGGTTACTCTCCACCCACTCTCAGCTTTCAGCCTGCCATGGAAAGCCCTGGTGTTCTGATCGTTTCATTTCAGGCCCCAGAGACCCTAGTTCCAGTGTTTGGAGCTTCCCTCCTTAACTTGGCAACCACCAGGACGAGCCCAGCACCGAGGGCAAGTCCTTTTCCATAACCTCCCCCTGAGCCCTCATCTGCCCCTGCTATCAGCCAAAGCACAAAAGCTACCTTACTTGAGTTGACTTAGCAACTCGCTGAACCCATGTCACAGAGGAAGCTCTTCCGGGATCTCCAGGTCCTCTTACCCCTCATACTTCATAGCTGCCATCCCCTGAGACAAGGAATTTCTCCAGAAGGCCAGAAGCAGTGTTGTGTGTTGTGTTAGTGCCTACCTGAGGCCTGACAATTTCATGCTCCCAGAACAGCAGTGGCGACACGTATCACCCCAGGGCCCACAGCAGGTCCTTAGGCACTGAAGCAGGAACCCTATGGCACAAAAAAGAAATGCAAGTTTTGTCCTAGCACCTGAGAGCAAAGAAGACAGCTCCTGCCCCTGTGCCTTGCTGCCGGACGCCGCACACTGTGAGGCCGCTGTTTTACCTTTTCTCTTCCCCCTTCTTCCTCAGACCTTGGGCTCTCAGAGAGCCAGGCCATGTTTTTCTTGCGCCCCCAGCACCGTGCACTGAACCAGGGGCTGCGCTGCTGAGGGCACACACCAGCTGCGTTCTCTCACTGGAATTGCATCCCCAAGAACCTATCTGGACGAGACTCCACAATCTCCGGGCCTCCGCGGCGCCAGGGGCCGCTGTGGACGCTCCAGCTAGGTTTCCGGGGCTCACCAGGCTCTCAGGACAGCAGACGCCCGCCCCATCTGCGCTATGGGCTCTGAGGCGGCGCAACTCCTAGAGGCTGCCGACTTCGCGGCTCGCAAGCACCGACGGCAGCGGCGGAAAGACCCCGAAGGGACCCCCTACATCAACCACCCCATCGGTGGGTGCACCACCCAAGGAGCAACCGCAGCGGCGTATAGGGGGTGGGGACCGGGAAGGGAGTGCGGAGGGCGTGCACCTCATTGCGCACCTACTCTGTGCCAAGCTTTGTGCCAGGTACTGTTTAAACCTTTGTGCCAGGTGTTTAAACCTCAAACAACTCGGAGCTGTGGGCATGACTGTTCCCTGTGTATGGTTGACACCCAAAGAGAGTAAAGGGCTTGCCCAAGGTCACCCAGCTAGTGAGGGTCCCCATCTAGCTCTACAAACCCTACAACATGCTGCCCTGGGACCCCCTCCGGTCTGACTTCCTCCTTTACCCCGTCAGGTGTTGCTCGGATCCTGACCCACGAGGCGGGAATCACTGACATCGTGGTGTTACAGGTAACTTTCCTCCACCTCTGTCAGGAGGCTGGGGTGGGGATCCGGGGCCCCATTCAGCTCTGGGCACCCCGTGGCTGGCATCACAGGGCTGAGTGGAAGCCTGTTCCTAGGCAGCCCTGCTCCATGACACGGTGGAGGACACAGACACCACCCTTGACGAGGTGGAGCTGTACTTTGGGGTCCAAGTCCGGCGTCTGGTGGAGGAGGTAACAGATGACAAGACTCTGCCCAAGATGGAGAGAAAGCGGCTGCAGGTGGAGCACGCACCCCACAGCAGCCCAGGGGCTAAGCTGGTGAAGCTGGCAGACAAGCTGTACAATCTGAGGGACCTAAATCGCTGCACCCCAGAGGGTAGGCTCCTCCACCTGCTCTGAGGGAAAGGGGAGGGTCTACTTATGGAGGCACAGGTTGGTCAGTTCCCCTGGAAAAAAGCCTGGGTATTCTTGTTAATTTCCCCCAACTAATCCCAGTAGATCACTCTGATCTATAACTGGGCCAAAGGCAAGTTTTTGTGACAAATCATACCATCAAGAAGTCATCTCATGGCTCTGCACCAAGCCCTCCAGGAAGCTGGCAAAATCCAGTGCTGTCCCGTGAGCAGTTCTCTGTTCATTCACATGCAGGATGGTCCGAACATCGAGTCCAGGAGTACTTTGAGTGGGCAGCGCAGGTGGTGAAGGGGCTTCAGGGAACAAACCCGCAACTGGAAGAGTCTCTAAAGCAGCTGTTTAAGGAGCGGGGGCTGACACTCTGAGCAGTGCTTGGAGCCATCAAGTGGCAGACTCCAGCCTTGCCCAGGCCAGCCTTTCAATGCCTTCCAAGCTCGTCCCTGGTTCGCTCAGCCTAGTAGCCAAAAATACTTGTCTTTTCTCACTCTGAAGTTCTCCTGCCAACTAAGCTGAGCTCTGGATTGTGGGCGTCAGATGCATCCCATCCACTTCTAATGCATTCACTGCCCTTCAGGCCTCGGGTCTGTTTGCCGTTTTGCATAGTGGGATCTCTGGCCCCTTAGGGACTTGGGCTTATATAAACTCTAGTTTATAGTCGTTATGGAAAATAAAGCATTTTGGGTAAAGGTTTAAGTTGCTGCTTCTCCTTCTCCAGCCTTGAGTGGGGAACCAGTAGATGGGATACCTACCTTGCCCCCTGAAACAGGTCCCTTGGGTTAAAGGACTCAACCCCTCTGAGCCTGGCTTCCTTATCAGTGAGAAAGGTTATGTGATTCTCAGGTTTAGATTACTTGATGCGCCTGATGGAGCCTGACACATAAGTACTCAAAAAATGGTAGTCTGCCTTGCTAAGTTGGTTCGAGTTACAGATGTACTGGAAAGCACTGCCACCTGCTGAGCACAGGAGAGGCCCCAGCAGCAACATAAGAGGGCCGGTGGGGGACTGCAGGTCCCTTACACTGCAGGTTGCAGCCCACCCAGTTCTCAGTCCTATCACCTTGTGGATTCCTTTGGTTGCTAAGCAACAGGAACTTCCGGGCGCCTCCGGGAGTGGCCGAGGGCCCGCCCACGAAGCCAGGTAGTGGGCGGGATGTGGGAGAGGCGACGGTGCTTTGCCTGGCATCCGCGTGGAGGGTCACCAGATGATGGATGGGTTTTTGGTTGCTGGTGAGCCACTGAGGCTTATTAGCCTCCTTGAACAGGGTACATTTGAGGGACATGGAAATTGTTAGTTCAAAGCCACTTCATGCTGTACCACGATGATTCTTCACCCAAAGGCGGCCCTGAGTGCAATTTCTGCAGGAAAAAAAGGCGAAAGGCACCAAAAAGATGACTTCAAAAAGAAAGCGAGTTTCAGGACAGTCCCATATAAACGGATAAACAAAGTTCAAAGTAATCCTCTGAAGGCAAACGAGCGTGGTTTTTTTTGAGAATTTTGGTTTTCATTTTTTAAAAAATTAGTTTATCGGGGTGGGATTACAGGATTTAAAAAAAAAACACTTTCTTATGCTTCTTAAAATATTTGCCAAAGTTTGAAATCAGTCTGAAGTTTTTAAGTGGCTTAAAATGTAAGTTTCAAGACATTAACAAACATTAACCCCTTCTGTACCTTTAGAATGAAAAGGAAAGATTGTCACAAGGTGCTTGATGTTTTACAAACCTCATCTGTTCTTTGTAATGAACCAGATGAGACAGGCAAGGTAGGGATTATTCTCATTCTACAGAGTAGAAATAAGAAGCTGGGAGAGGTGAGAAGACTTGTGAATGATCAAATAGATGGAATAGTGACCGAATCAGGACCAGACTCCCGCTTTGCCACGCTGCTGGGCCTCTTAACCAGGGCAAAGTGAGCACAATTGAGGTCATTAACCACACTGGACATAGTAAAAGTCAGGTCTGAAGTGGCCAGTGGATTTGGATTATGAGTTTGAGGCCTCCTTAGATAACCTGTTTGAGTCAATACAGAAGGTATTTGCTTTTTAAAATTCACAAATTTTTTCAACAGTCAGAAACCTACAGAAAAGTTGGAAGTACAGGATGTTACTTTTTTTTTCCTGAACCACTTGAGGTTAACCTGCTGACCCCGATGCCCTGTTACCCCTACATACTTTAGTATTTAGACAAAGAAATTCTGTATAACCGAACTACAACCACCCACATCAAGAAATCAACATGAGGGGCCGGCTGAGTGGCGCGATGGTTAAGAACTCGCTTGGGATGCCAGAGGGCCCCGGTTCGGATCCCACATATGAGGGCCAGTGACACTGCCCTCTACAGCTAAGATGCTGAACAACAGCTCAACCTGGAGCTGGGCTGCCATGAGTCGCCGGTGACGGTGTGGGCTGCAGTCCCTGTGGCAGTGCATTGCCATGGGCTACCGTGTGTGGCCAGCAGCCAACGTGAGCGGCCAGCAGCCGCAGTGAGCAGCCGTCCAGAAGCCGGTGACTGATCTGCCTCACCCAAGAAGAGCGCGATGATGGTGCCAACTTGGGCCAGTGAAGCAAAGTCCTCCACAACTAGACTGAAGAACAAAACGACAGCAACTTGTCTGTTCCCCTTCCCCCAATTCCCCAGCACTGTTCCCATCCCCCCAATTCCCCAATAAAAATCTTTAAAAAAAAAAAAAAGAAATCAACATGAATACATTATTACTACCTTAAGTCTGTGATAATAGGGCCCCTCACAGTTTACATGGATGCTCACTTTTGGCTTTTGCTGGGCTGGAAATCAAAAGTTTTGCTTCTGGCCTAGAATGAGAATGCTTTTACATCTTAAATATTTCACTTAGCATTCTTAGGCTGTAGGAGTTGAGGGGGCAGCAATGTAGCTGTGCTTACTCCCTTAGTTCCCCTAGGCAGACAGGGAAGCCCCAGTATTTAGAGCTTCTCACAGCTTCCACACCCAATGCGGTCTCATTCCAAATCCCGAGAAGGCCTCACCCCCCAATCCCACTTAGCCTTCCTGGGCCTAGACTCCCTAATTAGGTAGAGTTCCCTTCCAGGTCAGGTTTATTCTCAACTAGGGAGACCCAAAGTCAGGAGCAAAAATGGATGGAGTCTCGTTGCAGACCCACTTGGTCCTGGCAACTGAATTGATTTCTCACCGACTCTAAAGTAAAACTGAGGTTTGTTACGAAGAATCTGGTCTCTCCTAAGAGAATTAAGACAAATCCAACTATGTGAATCACCCCTTGAAGTGTTTTTTGTACATATTTTTGTTAGTGGGAAAACAAAGATGTTCAGAGATCTCTAATTCAGACTGTGATTCCCTCTTTCTCTGAGTGCCTGGGTGTCATCAGCTAACCACAGTGACAGAGTGGTTAAAGATGTCACTCTCTCATGATTTGAAGGTTATACTCACCTACCAGGCAAGCCGAATCTGGGCCTGGCTCACCCAGTTTGAGTCTGCCTTTCTTTTCATAGTTCCAATGGCCATACAGCCCTCCCTTCTTCATGGAAAGGGATGGTCCTAGGTGGATGGAGAGGTGCAGGGAGGAACAGAAATCCATCCATTTCCAGTGGTTGAAATCGCTTGTGTTGGGTCCTGGTTCCAGTTTTGACTGGAACTCACCGAACTGGGAGGCCACAGTGCCAGAGCTCCATGGTCAAGGGTTGTTGCTTGCCTTAAAACTGTAGGCCCATTTCCAAGTTACATGTACAAAAGCATCACCTAGGAGCTTGTTAGAATGCAGATTCTTTGGCCCCTACTCCCAGAGACTAGTTCAATCAGTTGTGCCCAGGAACTTCCACGTATGACAGGACGTTTTCTTTCTTGTTCTCATCACATCAGTCTCAGGGAGCTGTGGCTGTGCTCCACAGACCCTCACTCCAGCCCCAGGCTAAAGGAGCAGTCCCAGGCAGGCCAGGCCAGAAAGCTGGACTCCTGCTGACCCTGGACCACTCCTCGAGCACCGCTGCATGACCTAAGTTCTAAAACACCAGTGTGTAGGATTAAACATTTTAGTTCCTGGCAGATGAATAATTTCATCGCACATTTAAGACCTCCAAAGGTAATGGTCTTTATTCTGCTGATTTCCTACAGGGTCACAGATTCTCCCTTAGCATTTAATTATAAATTATACTAGCAAATAGCACCTGCTATAATGTAATTGTTGAGCATCCTGTATATGATCACAGCTCACATTCATTGAGCTCTTATATGTAGTAGGCACATGCTAAGCACTTCACGTAGATCATGTTATTTCTCCCATGATGATATAGGATTCTATATGAAGCTGGCAGCACCCAGCCTGCATGGTCTGGGAAAACTCTGCTGTGTCACTCCTTAGCCTTTAGGGAGCTGTTTAGCAAGCCCAGTGACTTTCTCTAAAGACCCCAAAGCAGGCTTTTCTCTTAAAGTAATCATACTCACCAGTTTTTTATGTGCTGCAATTATTTTCTCCCAAATCTGTCGTTTGTGTTTTAACCTTGATGTTTTCTATCATATAGAGGCTTTCAACTTTTTGAGGTAAAATCTCTTATCTTTTCCCTCTTTTAGGTTTCATGTTATGTTTAGAATAGACCTTCCCACACCAGAGGCATAAAAATACCCTGTATTTTCTTCAGTAATTTTGTAGTTTAATCCCCACCACCCCCCGCCAAACTATTTTATGGAAACTGTGAGGTAGAGATCTAGCTCTTACTATAGACAGCCAGTTGTGTTAAAGTACTGTTTATTAAATTATCCATCTTTTTCCCCACTTAAAATACTCCTTTTATCTTATAGTAAATTCCCATATCCCTGGGTCTGTGTCTGGACTCTCCCATTTGTTCCATCAGTCGCTTTGCTCCCATTCCAGGTCACACTGAGTGACCATCATGGTCACTTGAAAGTCCTTGGGAAGTCCCTTAGGACATGCCTGCCACCCACCTAACACCACCACCCATCTCATCATTACTCAGAATTCTGAGTAGTCTCAGACATACTCTTCCAAATGAACTTTGGAACCTGCCAAATTCCACAAAGTATCCAATCCCACTGGAATACATTGAATGTATGGGTTGACTTGGTACAGGGCCATGATAGGTATCATCTGGGTCACCTTACAGACTGCTCTTAATAGCTCTTCAGTTGACTGTCTTAAGGTTTTATAGGTCGGCCGTCCTGTCTTCTACAAATAGTGACAACTGTTAACTGTTTTTTGTCTCCCTCATTTACCATACACTGCAGGTGTGAGTAGTGCCAGGACTTCCCCCAAATAGTAGGTCCTTGGCTAGTTTCGGACTTGAATGGGACTGCTGCGGTGTTTGAACCGTTAGAATGCCATTAACTGCTGGTTTCTGATCGAGACCTTTATCTCGATTAGAATGTTTATTTCTAAACTTACTAAGAGTTTTCACAAGGGATAGATTGTAAATTTTGCTGAAGATCGTTTCAGCATCTATAGAGACTATCATAAATGTTTCTCTATGAATCGAAGCTGAAATGACAGCTGATGAACAGCCACAGCGCCCCCAGCTTTACTCACAATCCCTGGTCCCTGTCCAGGAACCGACTTCTGTAGAAGGATGTATGGACCGTGAAGCTTCATGGCCTGACTGGAGGGATGGTGCTGAAAGCCTTCTCAGGTTGCCCACGCACATGGGGTCTTGGAGGCTTCACTTTCTTTCCAGGGGAAGGCTCAAACACCCCCATGATCAGAAGCAGCTCTCGGGGACAGTGGTGTACAGAGTACGGGAACGAAACAGGAGTCAGGTAGGGTAGAGGACCTCCCATGCCCTTGCCACCATTCCACAAATCAACACACAGACCACGTGCCCAGTTTGAGATGGGGGTTTTGTACCTGAAGTGTCCTATGACCTCTGGCCATGACAGTCTCTAGTGAGTCCTTCCACCACGCTGCAGCCCCGAGCCACAGCGTGCAGTCCAGGGAGCACTTAGAGTGGAGCCATCTGAGAAAGTGGATTCCTTGTACTCCTCCACCCCACTGCTAACTCTGGGCCCTCCTCCCAGCATCCCTTGGCTCCTGCTCGTCACGCCAGGATATATAGTCCCTATGTAACAACAGGATTCCCCTAGAGCCAGCTCTCACCTGTAGTGACTCTTGACGCTGGACTGTAACCCACTTAGCCTCCACTACCTCTCCTGCTTCTCCTCCATCCCATTTTGGGAAAAGGATGGGTGCTTGAGCCTGTGCCCAAGTGGGCAGCCACTCAACCCAAAGCAGAGGCTGGCCCTGCCCATTCTGACCAAGGGCCTTGTCTCCTTGATCTCGCTAGCGTCTGCCCTAGCTACCCAACTCTGGGCCGTGAGTTGCCCCCTAACACAGAAGCAACAATAAACAGGAAATGAGGGCACAGCCCAGTCTGTCACAGTTCTGAGAGGTAGATCAGGACAGGATACCCAGTGCAGCTTGTCCAATCCAACCTTGTATTAGAGGCAGTCTCTGTGGATGAACTTTCTCTTCAGGCCACAGGGAGCCTTAACCCAGGCGGAGGCGAAAGGTGGCAACCTCCATGGGCTCCAAGTAGATGTCAGTACTGTTGGAGGGCGAGGCCAGAGGGTACAGTAGCGTCAAGGAGGTTGGCTGCAGGAAGCCCACATCCAGGCCGTGGAAGAGGCTCCCCAGGGCGACCTGTGCAGGGGAGAGAAGGGTAGGGCTGTGCTGGGTGCTGACATACCAGACGAGGCCGCTCTTCCTTCACATAACTTGTTACCCTTTTAAGAATCTCACATAGGCTGTGGCCCCTAGCAGCAGTGTACCTATGTATGCACGCTTGTTTGCATTCAATCTCGGGGTCACCGAGATACGCACCCCCCCCCCCCCCCGAGTCTGTCCATGGACCCCAGGGTGGGAACCACTGCACTGAGCTGGGAGCAGGGACCATGTCTGGTTCACTTCTGAATCACTGGTGCCCCGTCACGGATCTGGCACATGGAGGCAGTTACCAGCGCCGGCTTAAACGAGGACTAGAGCTTACAAAGTCACAGCATGATGGTGTTTCGTTATTTCTGGTGATGTTTACTTTGTTTGATAGAGTTCTCCCCTCAGGGAACAGTTCTGCAGCTATGTGTCTCATCTAGCACTTGCCCCTGCTAGGCTTTGAAAACACATGTCAACAACTTCCCCCTTTCTCTCTAAAAAGCCCCAGGGGGACCCCCCCCACCCCCTGATCACTGCCTGATCTCACTGCGGTCTCACCAAGCTCTCTCACGCCTACCAATTCCCCGTCACCCCACTTCCCTCCTTCCTCTCATCAGGGGCTCCCTTCCCACACTTGGGCCCTGCTTACCTTGCCTTGGCTTGTGGTGCAGTTGAAGCCCAAGTTCTTGGCCTCAAGGCCACAGTCAAAACCCTTGCGGTGTAAGATGAGCGCAGCTTCTGCCGAGGGCAAGGTACCATCCTGGGGGACAGACAGTACAAGGGCAGTGTCCAGAAGGCAGCCAGGGGACAGAAAGGCGTCTGGGGAAGGCAGGCTAGAATTTGGACCTGAAAGCACACGGCTGAGCAGGATACTCACCTCGGCCTGGAGCGTGCGCAGGTTGAGCAGGTGAAAGTCACAGGGTGGTGAGGAAGCCAGAGGATGAAATGAGCGCAGACCAGGGTCTGGGGGCTGCCTCTTGGCTACGGGCAGGGCAAGTGCCGGGGCATTCAGGGACGTGGAGGTCAGGTGGCTGAGGAGGGACGGGTAGCTGGTGGAGTGGCCATCTGGGACCTGCAAGATTGGCCAGAGATGTGGGTGAGAGAACGGAGCTGGGGTGAGGTGAGAGTGGGGGTAAAAGCACAGCCAGATCGGTTCCTCTGGAAGAGCTTCCCTGGTGGGTCTGTATTCAAGGGCTGCCTGGCTCCAGGACCCTGCAAGTGTGACCACCTCCCATCGCACACAACTTAGGGCCACCGCACTAGGACATCTTGACTCTTTTGGGTTTTTTGTTTCCATGACGCTATAATGAGCAACACCTCCCATCACACAGAGATTCTCAGTGCAGGGAGGAGGAAAGACAGACAGATGGCATATGGGCCTCTGATGGAGAAGGTCCTCCAAGTGACCTGTACCAACTGGGACTACCTGGATGGCTGACCTGGACGTCACCCTCACAGGCCTAAGCTGAACTTGCCTCTGAGACAGCCCCTTTCCCATGTTCTGGATTTCTGTCCCTAACCCACTTTCCCATTGCCCAGAATTGCTCACTTCCCTTGGCCTGGATGTCCAGCCCTACCCAGCTGTCCTCACATCCACCCCTGACTTCTCCCTCCCATGGCTGAGGTTTCAAGCCACCACCATTTCCTGCTTGAATGACCTTTGAACTGACCCCCCTGCCTCCGGTCTCTCTTCCAAGCAGATCCACCCTACCCCCTACTGTTATAGTGACATGCTTAGGGCAGAGTCCCCACAATGTCCCTCCCAGCTCACATCCTTCACTGGCCTCCAGGATAAAGTCCAGACTCTTATCCAGGCATTCATTGCCATTATGGTGCCAACCTACCCCCCACTCTAGCCCAGTGCTGGCCAGAACTTCCTGCAATAATGGAAATATGTATATCTATACTAATATGGTGCTACTCACCATTTGTGAATAGTACGAAGAACTCAACTGGTTATTGTATTTAGTTCTAATTAATCTAAATAGCCACATGGGGCTAGTGGCTACCACACTGGACAGGCTGCTCTGATCTGAGTAAACTCACTATTCCCCATTCCCTGGGGACTTCCTGCCTCCCACCCTGTGAATTGGGTCATGTATGTGTGCTTGGATGGCGCCTCCTCCAGGAAGCTGGCCTTGGTCTCCTTGGCCCATGATGCTACCTGGCTTCTTAGGACCACTAAACATGCCCATTATCTGCCTCCTATTTTTACACATGTGGCTTGTCCCCAACCCCTATCCACGATTAAACTCCTAGACAGCAATTCGTATCTTATGCACTGTGCCCCTCTCAGGCCCTAGAGCACAGCCGGAGCTCGGGATCTATTAGAGGCATGGAGACGGGAGATGGAGTCTGTCATCGCAGGCTCCGACTGTAGTTACAGCCTCTAACACTAGCTCAACACCCATCGCCAGCCCTTACCTCTCAGGTACTGGTTTTGCTGCTGTGAAAGACCAAGTCCCTAAACATGGCTGCCAGTTTGGAGAAAAAGCCAGGCTGGTGGGGGCAAAGAGAGCCATGAGATGAGTGGGGCTGGCGTAGACAGGACTGGAGAAGAAGTGGGCCGAGGGGAAGGCCGGTGGGGAGTGCAGCTGAGGAAGGTGGAAGGTGAACACGAGGGGGCACAGGTGACAGGCTGCATAAGGTGGAGCATCAGAGTCACAGTCACTCCCCCCAACCGAGGAAGCAAGCCATACTCTCGCCATCCCTGCACCCCTCTAGCTATGCTCCTCAAGCTTTTAGGCTGGCACTCCTGGGCCGCCCACAGGGACAGACCTGAGCTGGCTCCCGGAGAGGGAGGCCCAGAATTTACCTCACTGCCCAGGGCTCGCCGTTCCAACAGGAGGCGGAAGTGGTTGCAGGTTCTCTTGTTGTCCTTGAGCCCTTGGCCTAGGCCCCGGTTGTCGTCCTGCATTAGCCGCCGGTCCAAGATCACCTCCAGCTGGCCTAAGGGCATTAACAGGGAGTCCTCAGTTGGCTTCCCCATTCCTAAGCAGACAGCGACCTCTGGGAGAGCCTCAGCCACAGGCCCTGAGGGAAAAGCCCAGTGGGCTGGCCGGAAGCTGAGTCACTCAGGAGAAAAAGAAGCCGTGGAAACCAGAGCTGGAAGGGGCCTAACTGAAGGGGCTGGCTTCACAGAGCAGGAGACCAGAGGCCCGGAAAGGGCAGTCTGACTCTGGCAGGTCACTGCTCGGCTCTGTGACTCAGGAGTGGGGCCGGGCCAGGTGCCCAGGCAGGGAGCCGCATCTAGACGGGCTACATAAACAAACTAAACAAGCCAACACAAACTGCCATCTACAGCCGTCCACAGCTGCTGCCGAGGTCCGAACGGGACAGATTTCCTCAGGCTGGGTAGCTTCTTCTGTGACTAGAACACATGCCCTCCTGCCCTTGCTCTAGGTGGGGAAAGACTCCAGCTCTGCTCCCCTCGTCAGTCAAAAGGAAGGCTGCAGAGAGGACAGCCAGATGGCAAGTCAGGCAGAGGCTCAAATTAGGTGTCATTTGGGGGTGCCCAGGGGAAAAGAGATGGCAGATGATCACCTTGGCTTTGTTTTCTAAATATGCTTGGGGACAGGGCTTACGGCAAAGCTGACATATGTTGGGATGAGGGTTTCCCAACGCCTGTTTTTTTAACAATCTCTTGAGGGTTGCCCACACCAATGGCCCTACCCACCCTTTCACGGCCCTTGCCCTGGTTCTAACTTGGATAGTTCCTCTGTCTATTTACTCTGCGTAATCACAAAAAAGATAGCCGAAAATCCTAAACTGGACCCTGGGCATATAAAACAGTACTATTTCTTCGCATGCTTGCTATTTCCCAGAAGGGCAGAGAGAACCAAGAGGAGACACTGGGCTCGGTTAGGAGTTGATGCCACAGCCAGACCCGAGGGAAAGTTCTACAGCTGGGGTGGTCCTGGGCTAAAGGGTAGCAGAGCCCCACTCCTTCTAGCAGGAAGTCAGGTCCCCACTGTGCTCACCACTGGTACCCACAGAGCCTAGACCGGGCACTCTGAGCTCAGCCCTGCACGGAGGCTTCTCCAGGAAGATGGAAGGCCTGAAGGCCTCAGGGGCCACCAAGTGCAAACCGTTCACTTACCCTGAGGACACGGAGCCACCTGGGCTTCTGGCGTGACCAGCTCCAGGCGAATGCTCTTGGTGCCCTTGTTTTGACTCTTAAGAATGTCATTCTCTTTTAATGACCGCTAGTAGGAAAACGCTGCGTACTTTTCTCCTTTGCTAAATATTATGTTACAACATTGATGCATTTTTCCAACTGTCCCTGTCCCATTTCTGGCCAGAAGGGGGCTGCACACCTCAGCTGAGAATCACCATTCCATATTCTGATGCCTCTTTGAGGGGATGCAACAGGGAACCCACCCCCCAGGCGTCTCCATCAGGGGAGAGGTGACAGCAGGCATCCGGCTTCCTCCAGGGCCTGTGTGTGACTGACATGAGCTGTTACCGGCTCGCCCCTTCTCCAAGCATGGAAGGAAGGGGAGGCCTGCGGAGTGGAGAGGCTCGGGGGCGGGATAGGCTTCCCTTTCTTGTCCTTCACCCTGTGCACAGCTTCGGTTCCCCACTCACCATCGTGGAGGCTGGAGACACCCAGGGCCTGGGCGGTGTGCAGCGTGAGGCGGTTCTGGGCGTCCTGGATGTAGGCCATGACTGGCATGGGGTAGAAGTTGGCCTGCAGGGGCAGCTTCTTCAGATATCGCCGGGGCTGCATCTGTGGGGCAAGGCCAGCCGGTCAAGGCCATCTGCCCCCCTCACGCTTGGGCCCCAGGGGGGTCCCCAGTCTGAAGGGGTTCCTGATACTCTCGCCTGATTCCTCCTTCTCCATCAGGGCAGAGCACCCCCTGGGGCCTGTGATGGAGGCAAAACACAGTCCAAGTTCTGCTCTGAGGGGTCTCCCTGGCCCCAGGCCCAGGAATCACCTGAAAGCCGTTGAGGTCCGTGAAGAAGGTGCCCTGGCTGTCAATGTCCGTGTGGATGCGCAGGGCCAGCTCCTTGTTGACATAGTCCCGGATGTCCACCAGGGATGACACGTCCAGAGACAGCCCCTCCACCCCTAGGCACAGGGACAGACAGCCTCAGAGTCTGGGCTGGACAGTCTGTGCCCAACCCCCAGGCCACTCTCCACACATCAGGACGACCTCTGCTCCAAGAGAATTCATTAAGCATCACCCCTGTCTCAAACAACAATCAGTTGGGGACAGATGGATGGACAGGACGGGCAGGAGGAAGCACATGTCACAGCCCGTGTGGACCTTCCTCCTATGCAGGGCACGCACCTGGCAGGTTGTAGAGCCGGACCACCTGGTGAACATGCTCGTAGTATGCTACCACCTCTGAGAAGAAAGGGCCTTCAGTGACACGCAGCACGGGGGGATCCTTGGGGACGTAGGGCTGGAGAAAGAGCAGGTGGCAGCTGAACCCACAGCACAGAGGGCAAAGCAGGGAGGTACCAGCCCAGGGTCGCACAGGGAAGTAGTGGTTCCCGGCAGGCTCTGGCCCAAGCCCCCAGGTCGAGCTCCCCGGCCACCTCCTCCCAGAGGCAGCACGGCGAGGCCCCAGCAGGCACGGCCCACCCTGGAAGGAGGCCTGAGTCCCTCCTCATTGCCTCCGTTCATAGGTCTCCTGGTGCCCTCTGATAGGGAGGTCCTCGGCCCCCCGGGGTTTGCGAGGTGCCTTTAGGGTACCTGGGCCTCGCCGTCCGGCAGGAAGAGGTAGGCTCCACTCTTGTCTTTGGAAGTGCGGGTGCCATAGACGAGAAACTCCATGTCCATGCGCTGCTCCTGCTCCTCATCCACCCTTCGGATGCTCTGCCAAAAAACACAGCCCTGACCCCTGGCCCCACACCGGCATGTCAGGCCTCCCCCTGGGAGGGCACGGATGAACTTCCCCAAGAAGCCACGCCCAGCTCCCCTGCTGGCAGCTCCGAGCCGAGGTGCTGTCTGTCTCCAGGGCCGGGCCCAGCGCCGTGCACGCCCTCCCCTGGCTCCCGCCCTGGCCCTTTACCTTGAGGAGCCCGCTCAGGCCTGAGAACCAGACCTGCATGTAGCGGTTGCTGAGGGCGAAGTCGCTGGTGCCAGAGTCGATGACGCGTAGTGGGAACGCTTCATGCCTGCTGACAGCCAGCTGCCGGCCGTGCAGGTAGACGCGCACGGAGGAGGGCAGGGTGCGGTGCCCGTCTAGGCCCAGCTGCAGCTGCAGCACGCCCAGGCCCAGCGCCGGCAGGCGGGTGGGCACAGACACCTGAGGGCACAGGGGTGTGAGGAAGCGGGGGCCACAGCCTGGGCGTCAGTTCTGGACGCGGGCCTGGGATTCTAGTTCTGGAGCCCAGGCAGGTCCCTGTACCCACCGGGACCTCTGTCCCCTCCTCTGAAAGTGGAGGTGGTATTACTTGCCCCTTATCAGACTGTTACAAGTCTCAAACGATATTTGAAAAACTGTGAAGCAGTAACCACACACGAAGCTTTCAGTAAAGATTTGCTGAATGAATGAGCGATGGGGCAATATAACTGCCATTTTTACTGTCATCATCATTATGCCCAACTTCACCTTCCCTTCAAGGACAGACTCAAATCCCACGAGTGACTATCCTTTGGGCAATCCCTCTCCCCAGGACACCTGCCCCAACCCGGGGAGTAAGCAGGGCTGCAAACAAGAGGGTGGGAGGCTGGTGTCGAAGGGGAGAGGCCAAGGGTCAGCAGAGGGCCGGGGCCAGAATCCACCTGCAGAGCCCCCCCTCACCTGATAGACATCAGGGACCATGTCAATGGCAGAGCTCCAGTGCGCGCTAATCTGCACAGCCAGGGGCTGACCCTCCTCCGAAAAGACACGCACCCGGGGCGAGCTGACCAGCAGGGACACCACGCTGAGCCGCTCCTGTTCCAGCGGGTTGAAGACCACCACATACCTGTGGGTGGAAGGGGGGCTTGCTCAGGCCACTGGTCCTGGACGGCGGAAGCAGGGACAGTGGCCGGGCCAAGAGTCCCACGGTGGTCGGCTGGTGTGGGGGCGGGAGTGGCTTCGCCTCTGTGCCTGGCCTGGTGCACCTCACCTGGGTGAGGACTCCAGCTGGATGACTGTGCGCTCTGGCAAGGCATCGTGATTTAAGCGGGTGTCATCCTAGAATTAAGCGGGGTGCGGGAAGCCATTAGGGGCTTGGCCTGACTCAAGAGTCCTGCCTCCTCCCCAACCCCGCCTGCCCTGGATGGGGACCACCGGCTGCGCTGGGCACAGATCGTCACCCCAGGATGGCGAAGGAAGGTAGGAGAAACACTCGCACACAGAGCTCTTGGGGTGGGACCACACACACCATAGGGTCCCCCAGCAGATCCAGGAGTGGGGCTCACCATTTGTAGGAAGGGCACCTCAGGGTCAAAGTGGTAGGTCTCCTTGTCCCCCAGCACCAGGTAGTGCGCAGCGTTAATGATGACCTGCTTCAGGCTGACAAGGGAGCGCAGCAGCCTGGGGGCAGGAGAGGGACCGTGGAGAAGATGACCACAGAGAGCCTGTTTGCCTTGCCAGAGGGCTGAGCCCTCAGCAGGCTGAGCACTGCCCAGCACGTCCTTTCTTTGGGACGGTGGGCAGGGGCATGGAGTGGACAGAGAGAGGAGAGGGCTCCCACCTGACTCCATAATCCACAACGACTGCCTCCTTGGCAGTGCCAGTGATGGCGTCATGGTGCTGGAAGAGCCCCAGCGTGCGCCGCGCTTCCGTCAGAAGGGCGAAGTTCGAGAGCGGATACTGGCTGGCCAGTCCGGAGTGGCGGGCATGAGCTACAGCCAGGCTGTACAGAATCTCTGCCCCCCTGCCCAGAGAGACAGGTCAGCGCCTGCTGATACAACTCTTTCCACCGCTTCTCCACCTGCCCTGCTCTCTGTGTCTTTCTACTCCCTTCGGAGCCAATCCAGCCCCTCCATAATCCCCAAAGGCCTGCTCTACTCCCTCCAGCCTGGAAGGGGGGGGGGGTCTCACCGCAGGTGGGCTTCCAGGACACGGTCCAAGTTCTTGTAGAAAGGCCGGGAGGTGTAATAGCCTGTCCAGTAATGGTCCTCCCGGTCCGCATAGGAGAAGAAGTCTCCACTCAGCACAGGAAACCCAGGAGGCCGGACCCCTGGCTCCACCCCTGTCCTCTTGTACAGAGCGTCAAAGTAGTCTGAGAGGGTGCCAAACTGGGCCTGTGGGGAGCCGAAGAACACGCTCCCATCAGTGCCAGAGCCTCCTGGGACTGTGACCCCGTGCTGCAGTCGGGGCTAGGGGCGGATCCTGCCAACACATAGGGCAGTCACTGTCCGTCACACCCTCTGGACCTCACACACAGGGTGGGAGCCTGGGAAAGAATTCTGACAGAAAAGGGGGCCTTGCTGAGAGTGGGGACTGATCCCCTGCTTTGCAGCCGGGAGTGGGGAGCATGGAACCTCAGGGGAGGGGCCGGGCTGTAGCCCTGCTGAGATGCTGAGAGCCCTCGCTCGCTCACTGCGCCCCTCGCACCTGCACGTGGAGGTCAGGCTTGCTGTTGAGGAAGTCGAAGAGCCGCTGGTAGTTGGAGAACTGAGCGTCCCACTCATGGGGCTTGTCGTAGCGGAAGTCATCGCCCAGCGGCACCAGCAGGACGTTGCTTCGGAAGAGCCGGGACTTCTTGCGGTACTGGTCCAGGAGCAGGGCCGCCCTGTGGTGGGAAAGGGTGCAGCGTGAGTCTCCGCATGGCAGCATCCTGAGCAGGGCTGGTCCAAGAGAGGCCCTCTGCAAAACCGCCATGGAGGAGCACTTGGCCTGCAGTGCACACCTCCTGAGGTGGGAAACCCTGTCCCGGGAGCCCAGCCTTCCCTGGACAGTTCTAACAAGCAGACAGCTCTTCCTGTGCTAGGCTGCACGGAGGGCTTCAATTCCCTGACCCCACGCAGGACAGATCCGTCCTCCTTCCCCGTGATGCTCCTTCAGACATACTGAAGACGTGCCCACGCTCCTCTGGGCTCCCCTTCAGGCTACAATCCCAGCTCCTCCACCTGCTCGGTCCCAACATGGCAGTCTAGAATCTGCTCACCAGCAGGTCCTGAGCAGCCTGTCTGCCAGTGCCCCTGAGTGAGGGCCCAGCGCTGGATACGGGGGTCCAGGGTGGGCTGACCCACAAACCAAGACAGAGCCGCACTGCTAGTTCAGCCAGGTGCTCCCATGAGAGCAGGGGGCATTCACACAGGCGTGGTTGGCAGCCCCACAGTCACCCCACAGCACTAATATCAGCTGCCACGTTCTCTGTACGTGACTCTCAAGGTTGTTTCTCATCCTGAACATTCTTATTCTGTTTTCTGAAGCTAAGGGTGGAACCTCACATCTGTAGCTAATAAATCTTTTCTGGCTAGATTTGACCCACATCCTAAACTGTGGAGGTCTTTTGGGATCTGATCCTGACACTCCAGCTTCATTCTGCCCACCCCCCTCCGCTCCCAGCCCCGCCTCAAGTAGCAATGCAGCACTGGAGTGAGGAGCCTGGACTCGGGAGCCAGGCCACATGAACGCCAGCTCTGCATGGACCAACTGAGTGACCTTGGGCAAGTGACTTAACCTCTCTGGGCCTCCGCTTCTACAAAATGAGGACAACGTAAATACCTACCATCAGAATGTTACGAGAATTAAAATGAACTGCACAAATTAATATTTGTTAGAACACTTGGAATAGTGCCTGACACCTAGTTAAAACTATATATGAATGTTTACTTTCTTTTTCATCCAAGCTACTGGTAAATCAGTGGAAAAACAGAGCCTGTGGCATATCAAAAAAGTCCCTTTCTCTTTTTAGACCAACCTACTAATTGGAGTGCTGTGGGTGTCACACACAGTTCAACCAGTCATTAATCTACTTAACCGTGCTGGTCGGCTTGTAGTTTTCTATTTTGTTCTCCAGAGAGGACTCCTTGAGCATCATTTTTCCCTAATCTATCAGCCTAGGAAGCCTTTCAGAGGAGAAAATGAAGTTACTCTCACGACTTGCTCATTGCAGACCTAGCTGGCACCCATGGGTCACAGCGGCTGCTTTAAGAAAAATCCTGCCCGCACAGTCCTCAAGGCTCGCTTGGAACCAGCATTTACATTTCTGGGTTCTGGAAACAAAAGACCACTTTCTTTCCCATCAGTCACATGCTTCACCTCTTGGACATCATGGAAATCGGAGAATTTCAACATGAAAACCAGTTCAACTTGTTATAGTCTTGAGGCCAGTCCACTTCTGGCAAAATCGCTGTTTTGGATCACTCTTATTTAATCTACACATTCCCGGGGGGCCTGTTTCAGCAACAGTGCCATTTTAGGGGCCCCTAGTGATTCTCTCAAAGGGAACGGGCCTGCTTTCTCAGAGGCTGGAGGCTGCTGGGCAGGACTGAATGTGCACGTGAATGAGGTTCCAGGTTCTCAGAACACTGGGGATCCCAGCCGACTTCGGGTATGGCAGGACGCCTGAGCTTAATGAAGGTGTATTAGACTAAAGATTGGAAGGAACTGTACCCAATTTGAGAATAATTCACCTCTGAGTTAGCCGACCGGCTCTGACAGTTTATAAGGACACTGGAAAACATGGTCATTTAGGAAAGTAAAACCATTCTGGGAAAGGTGGTTCCTTCCAGCCTCTCCAGTTTCCCAGGCACACTCGTAAAGGAGCTGCCACCACAGGGGCTGTGGGCCTGAACGCACCACCTGAGCCCACCCCCCATCTTATGAAGCCACCATGCAGCAGAGCCCAGACTAGGGGCTGGGGGCAAATACCTCTCGGCCACGTTTGCTTCTGTGATGGCGCGGGGTGGCACCTTCCAAGGGCAGTTGATGCGTCCTCCGGGCAAGCGTTTAAAATCAAACTGGCAGCAGATCTTGGGATCTGGGCCACAAGTATGGGGGACATCATAGCTGTAGAAGGGCATCATGTGGCAGAAGATGTCTGTGCTGGAATCCGAGTCTGCAGATGACAGAGCAGGCAGTCAGCCACCGGCTGGCAGTGGCGGGAGCCGGGCACAGGGGTGCCAGCAGGGTGGCAATCTGCTCTGGCTACAGGTAGCCCTGGCAGGAGGGTAGGCTCGACCTAGACTGAAGGCTGCAGAGGACGTGTAGGCCAAGGGTCAGGACACAGGGAGGGCTCCGCAGCCCACAGCTCCCCCAGGGGATGGCATGCTCAGAGCCTCAGGACTGACAGCAGGTCCCACAGAGGCCAGAGGTCTATGTGGTCCCCACGTAGCCTGAAGGAGAGTGCTTCTGGAGGTCTGCACCAGTGCCTGCGGTCTGCTCTGAAGGACACTGCGGCTTGTCTCTGAGACCCTGGCCCTTCCCCAGTGAGAACTACCACTGTGGGCCCTGCCACCCTACCTGGCCTTACCCCAGGTCTGCCTCCACATGAACTCCAGGCTGTGGGTGGCGGCAAAGTGCTTCTTGATGGCATAGTGCACCCTCTGAATCAGCATGCTGGTCAGGTTGGCACGGCGCAGCAGGTAAGCCATGGTGGGGCTGTGTCCAAAGGGGTCCACCGCCCAGCCTGAGCGCGGAGTCGCACCTGAGTAGGGGCAAGGAAGCCAGAGGCCCTGAGCACCTCAGCGCTTGGCCTGCCGGTACTGGGGCCCCAGCTCCCATCCTGCCACGATGCCGGGCCCTCGCTGGGGGAATTAAGTGTAGAAAGGAACCACCCCCTGCCAATCCCTGTACCTTCCAGTCCCCTGCCGCCCTCTGGGCTCAGCTCTGGGGCTGACTCCCTTTCCTGAGCCTGGCCTCACCGAGGTTTTTCTCCAGCCATTGGTGTCCCTCGATGAGCTGGTCGATCAGTGCAAAGTAATGGGAGTTGGCCTCATCCGGCATCACCCAGCCTCCCGTCGCAATCTCCAGCTGCCCGTTTCCCACCAGCCTGGAATTAAGGACTCACACTCAATATGGGGTGGGGACCCTTTGCCCAGTCCTGCCACCCAGAAGGTGCCGGGCCCTGTGCGCACTGGCCTCACCCAAACTCGGGACCCAGAGAACAGACATGCGCCCTCCTTTCCTGCCAGCCAACCTCCGTGCTCCCATGGCCCTGCTTACCCTGGCCCATGCTCCTCTCTGGCTGTGCTCACAGACCTCTCATCTCTCCTAACACAGATAACCCTAAAACCAGCTCCTGCCTTCTCCTCGGCCTCTCCACCATCACGCACCATCCCTGCCATGCTCTCCCTCACCTCTCCCTGCCACTGTGGCACCCACAGCCTCCGGCGAGACCCGCACACCCAACCTAGGCCCAGAGGACAGTCCTCCCACGCCTCCCTGGCACTGGCCTTCGCACTGCTGCTCTCTTTTGGGCATTGATGTTGTCCCACCACTTGGCGAAGAAGGAGACTTCGGCCCAGAGGAACCGCCGCCGGGGGTCCTCCTGCAGCTTGGACACCATACTGTTGAGGATGTGCTGGGTCTGCTCCGCATAGTACTTCTCGAAGGTCTTGATCCAGCCTGAAGGGCAACACCGGGTCCCCTGAGGAGGCCGCATGGTCCCTCCCTTCCCTTGCCATCAGGAAGCCCACTCCACACCCCAGCTCCAGAGCTCTGCTGGCCCTCACCTGGGTCATTGTGAGAGTGGGGTACCACGAACACCTGTAGGTCTTCAGCGTCCCAGTCATGTGGGCCATAGGAGATGTCGAAGCCTTGCTTCCACACCCCACCATCCACATTGTCGAAAGGCAGCTCCTCTGACACAGTCAGCATCTACCAGGCAGGACAGCAGCTCAGTGTCCCCCCCCATGGCCTCCGTGGGTCCCTGCCAGCCCGGACTCTTACCTGCAGCTCTGGCTTCTGTCCCCGGCCCCCCAAAGCAAACTGGCAGTCTTGAGGGGAGATGGAGAAGAAACTGGGCCGGGGCTCCGGCAGCACCACCCAGGAGCCATTGGCCGTGTAGTAGGGCAGCAGGGCGGGCGGGCCCTCAGCGTTGGCGGTCAACTCCAGCACAGACTCCTTGATGTGGCTGATGATCTCATGGTTCTCTTCCAACAGCTGTTCCAGCTGCTCAATGCGGTTCTGCAGCACAGAAATTTGGCTCTGCCAGAACAACAGAAAGCAATCACCCACAGCTCCTTACGGCTCAGGGAGGGACTTTGCCTGGGGCCCACCTTCTGAGGCCTGTGATCCTGCCCTCTCCAGTGGAAGGCAGAACCATGAGCCTATGGGGCCATGTGGCTCTGGTCAGATCAGGGAAGAAGTGAGAATCACCACTTGAGCTGGGAGTTCCCTCACCTTCTGGCTCCAGGGTGGCAAAGATTTCACTTCACATGCCTATTCTCAACAATCGGTGCTGCCTGCGTGGAGCCCTGACAAGAACTGCATCTGGGCTCAGGAGGAACAGATGCACAATCCATTAGCAATGTCTGCCAGGCATTCAGGAGACAGAACGGCAGTCCATTGTGCCTTTTCCCCCCTCCTTCCTTTTTGTCATCATTGTTTTTAGCTTTGGGTTTCTAGAAAAGCCGCCTATTGGGCAGGAATGTTCTTGTCCTGAGCTGACATGACGCTTCAGCTGGGGCGCTACCCTGATCCCAGACGAATTGTATATGAAGACATCAGCCGCCAGGCATGACTCACCCGGGGGAAGTTCCCACCGCTCTGATGTCGGGCAGGATCGTGCTGCACTCGGTCCAGCATGAGGTAGAGTGAGAAGACAGCCACGCAGAAGATAGCAGCCCCACACACGGTCACCTGCTTTTTCAGCTTCATACTGGCCTCCCCACACACCTGGCAGGAGGGACACAATACGGAGCTCCAGCATGCAAAATCCCTTTGGTGGTCTTTCCACCAAGCTGACCCAGTGAGTTCCTGCAGCTGCTTCCCAAGGAACAAGAGCCCCCGTTTACCTGACTCCCAAGAAAAGCAAGCTTCTCAGCACCGAATCCGGACACTGGCTATGGATCCTGACCGCACCTAGATCTTATTCTCTTGGCTGAGACACAGGAAGCACAAGGACGTAACCCATCTGAGGCTGGGCCTGCCTCCTCCTGGTAGCAGCTCTTCCCTAGGGTGAAGATGAATCTCTCTCCCCAGGCTGATGCTATAAAAAAACACAACCAGATAACAAACTTCCCGGCTCTGACTCCAGAGGTCACTACCACACAACCTCCTGATTCTAACCAGTTTCTCAAAGAGCTTACCTACAAGAAAGGTGCAGCCGGGGCAGAGGAGGTGGGTGTCCAGGCTCCTTGACCATGTGCTTCTAGGTTCAGAAGAATCAAGCGCTCCCTGTTTTGATTTAAAATGTATAACCAAAGCTGAAATAAACTGACAGGAAAGCCTTTCTCCCTGCCCTCTTGGATCAGACCGGTACTCAGCGGAAACAGAGCCTGGCACAGATCCTCTCTCATTAAGAAAGACACAACGAATTTAAAAAGAATTAGTTTATGTTTCTGCCACAGAGTGAGTCCTCCGTCTTCCGTTAGTCCTGATTCTGCAGTGGGTAACTTTCAGCCTCCGGTTATACAGGATGTAGGGGACCCCCTGGGAAGCCAGCAGTAATTGATGCTGAAGACCCCTCCCTGGGTAGGGACGGGACAGGCAGGGCTGCTAGGTTGTGGGGCAACTTCAGACGCCCAGCGCCCGCCCGCGGACCTCTACTTGCCTGCTGCTCCTAAGGAGGCCGCAGCTGCCGGCCCAGCGTGAGGGGAGCGGCCGCCTTGTCTCCCTCCGGCCCCGGGGCCCAGGAGATGTGCCGCCTCTGCCCGGTGTCCTACTTAGAGGGATCTGATTCCGCTCAGGAGCCTCCGGGCCATATTTTTAGCCCTTGGACGCTGGTTCCAAGCCAAAGTGGGTGGAGCTGGGGAGACACAACAGTTGGATCACCGTGGAAGGAGGCACCTGCGCCGCGTCGCCGTTCGCCCACCCGCCGGCCCTCCCCGCTCCGCCGGTCCCGGGACCGGGACTACAACCCGGGGCGAGGGCGGGGGCGCGGGCCGCTTCCGACCCCGAGGTGCCACTTGGCGCTCCGGCTGCCCAAGCCGGGCCGCGGCTGGACAGCCGGACCCTCCCACGCGTCCGTCCCGCGCGTTACCGTCAGCAGCCGGCCTCGCGGCGCCCCTCACATCTCCAGGGCGAAGGCCCGCGCGAGGCAGCGACGCAAGGAAGGCGGCCGTCCGCCCACCCGTCGCCCCGGCTCCGCGCGCCGCAGCCGCGCTCCCGCGGGGCCAGGGCCTCCGGCGCACTTCGCTGCGCCCGTCCCCCCACCTCTAGCGGCCGCCCGCAGAGCAGCGTGCGGGGCGGGGACGGTCGCACCGCCCCGACCCCACGCGGCCCCGCCCGGCTCCGGGAACTGGCCCGGCGCCTCCCGCGCACTCCGCGCCGTGGACCGGGGACGCAACGCGCAGCCGCAGTTCTGACCGGGCCTGGGCGCGCTGCGGCCCCGCGAGCGTGGGGCGCGTGACTTTATTTTGTCTGACTCTGACGAGAGTAAGCACGTTATCAAACAGTAGTGGAAACATTCCTCCTCCGTTGCACCAGCGGAGCACGTTTTCCGGGCCCGCCCTGCTGCATCCTTAATCTGATGCAGCTACATTCTCAGGCAAAGGGGTGCTGCCTCCTGTTGGTGCGGTGCTTAATCACCATCCCTTTCCTGCCTGCCACCCAGCGAGTAAGACACCACCTCATTCGTCTTGGTTGGTCTCCTTTTACGGGGCGGCTGGGTTGTTTGTACTTTTGTAGCATAATAAACCATTCTGCAATGAACATCTCCATGAATTCCACATGTGTCTTTTATTACCTCAGGACAAATTCGCAGCAGTGAGGTTACCTAGGCAAAAGATATGGACTTTTATAACTGATGATATTCGCATTCTACAGCCCCTAAAAGGACGGTGCCCGTTTCCACTGTTGATTACAAACTGTTGAATATTGCTTGAACAGTGTTTTTGGCTGACTAACCAGATTTAAAATGCCATCTCACTGTTTTAACTCCCATTTCTTGGATCACCATCAGGAATATTTTTCCAGGTTTATTTACTAACCGAATGCCTGCACTAAGGTGCTCGGCCTAGGCTGGGTTCCTCATCCTCTATGTCTCTGTGTTTTGCTCTGTGTTCTGGGAAATTTATCTTCCAACCCTTCTACTGAATGATTCATTTTGGCAATCATACTCTTAATGTTCAAGAGCTTTTGTTTGCTCTCTGCTAGCTCTTTTTTTTTTAAAGAGTTGAGCTATAACAGTATATGGCACAAGTCTGAAGTGCACATGAGTTTGATGAGTTTTGATCAATGTATACATGAGTATAATCACAACTCAGACCGAAACAGAACATTCACATCACCCCCAGAAGGTTTCCCTCTGTCAAGAGTTCAAGCAGTCCCCAAGTGCACTGTGGTGGCCACAAGGATCACGATGCAAATGCTAGGTGGGCCTGCCAAGCTTCCATAGACTCAGGATCCACGTCCTATCAGCAAGAGCAAGACCAGCATGGATCCCACAGGGTGACACTGAATCGAAGGGACCTGATGACAGGGGGAATGGTGATAGGTCTTCATGGCTTAAGGAGCCAACTCCAAACTACAGCCAAGAAGTGGCATGGCCGTGGCCGCGCTCTGTGAGGAGATGGGCCAGATGGAAAGCCCTGAACTCAACTGGAAGTAGGAAGATGGATGAGAAATGGCCTTGTGGCAATCTCCCACAAGATAGGGAGGCTCCTCTCTAGGATGCTTATGTCCCCTTGCTCCGTAATTGCAGTGCATTGTGTCAAAACTCATGTCAGGCTGCTCAAGCCTTGCCCACATGGCCCATGAAGACACATACAAGTTAGTAAGGACGCCATGGCTGAGCTGTTCCCCTACACTCTCACACCCCTGCCCATCGATGCCCCTCAGACAGAACCACTATTTTGACTTCTCTATAGTCTTGTATGTCCTTGAATCTCATAAAATGGAATCAAAAGTATGTATTCCTTCATGTCTGGCTTCTTTACTCACCATGTCTTTGAGAGTCATCAGTGTTGGTGTGTGTATCAGTGGTCTGTTCTTGCTCATTGCTGGATAGACGTCTGAGTCATTTTCAGTTTATTATGGTCCTAACTTCTCTCTCTTTCTGGAACTTTAATTACTCATATATTTGGAGTCCCATATGTTTCTTAGGCTCTATTTTTTTTCCATTCTCTTTTTTTCTCTCTTTACTTCAGTTTAGGTACCTTCTATTAATCTATCTTCAAGTTCACTAATTCTGTCTTCTCATAAGTGTCCAATCTGTATCCTT